CAGCACGTTGCACTGTCTCTACGTGCCCCTGGAAGAATAAGGCACCGGCCTGGGACACTTGGCTTCCTCTGACATCATCGTAACCCCACTCGAACCCCAAGAAGACAGGCAGCCCCGACTCACCCCAAACCACAGCCCTGGAGAGAATTTGCAATGACATTGATTAACAATAGTGGATGAGAAACCACAGCCCTGGAGGGAAGTGCCTGCCCAAGACCACCTGCATCATGACAGGCGGTTCGTCCTTACAGAGAGACACTGAGATGCACCAGCCCACACCCTTTGGCAGCTCCCCCTCCATCCTCCCCCGTATTTGCTTTCTAAATTTGGAACAATCCCATGTGCTGTAAACCCAGTCTTGGAGACACCACCACCTAAAACCCTGACACGCACATACACACGTACCACCTGGACCATGACTACTTACGGGAAGCCAGCCGCCCACTAATCAGGGACCCTGACCTTCTGTGGCTTAGTTTGAACAGATGGAAGAACATGTAGTGTTGAGGGGGTGTGGTTCAAGGGTCTACGCTGGGCCCTCCATGCTGTGCATCTCCGGGATTAATATCCACCTTCTTTGAAAGGCTGTGGGTATTTACAGGCTTCTGCTCACACCTGGTACCAAATCCTCATGTTCACATTACACAAAGCCTCAGCGTGGTGGTGGGTCTGTTCTCCCTGCACTTCAGAAGTGGCCAGGCTCCTAGCTTACCCTGAACCTGGAAACTTGCACCCTTAGAAACTTGGATTACACTCCCTGGCCAGCCCTGCAGAACCTCTGTAAAGAAAAATTGGCTGACTCTCAGATTTCGGGAGGAAGCATCAGGCCTGCCCCTCTCCCATCCTTCATTATGCTGGCACTCAGCCACAGAACCCACGAGGCCCGGAGGCCCTGGGGTGTAAGGGCTCCCCTTGGACTTCTAGCTACAGCTGCTCCAGGGCAAGAGCAGGTTTTCATGGAAATGTGCACCCAGGGTTAAAAACCTTCCCAGTCCCTCTGAGCTACCTACTGGGGCGGCCACTCCCATCACCACACAGAGACCTGCTCTCTCCACAGGGGCTGGACGAGGCTGATGATGGTGCACTGTGCAAAGGGCTTAGTGGTAAAAGATAAACTGAGGCACATTAAAATTTTCAAGAGTTTATTTGAGCATATATTTGATTTGAATGGGGCAGCGCCAAACCAGAGGTGGTTAGAAGCGCTCCACCGATAGGAGCTGGGGGAGAGGTTTTTATAGAGAAGATGGAAAGCAAAGCAAAGCAATTATTTGATTGGCTTTCACTGGGAAAAGCTGGTTGTCTGTGACTGGTTGTTCTCAAGTCTCATTTTCTCGGATTCAAGTGCCTTACTCCAGCTTAGGTTTTGGTTTGCTTACGGAGGATACCAAGGCAGCAGAGCCCCCCAGTTTCACGGCCTCCTTGTGTAACTGTGACATTAGGGACTTGATCCTTCCATTCCTCACTCTCACCCAAGGAGTGGGCAGGGCCTGTGGCCATCGATCCTGATAAAATAATTGTCGACCCCTCTCGGCACTTTCCTACTAACAAAGGCCTGGAGATTCATTTTCTCACTATAACACTGTGAAACAAGGCGTAGCATTAGCCCCCTTCTGTGTGTAGATGGGGGAACTGAGGTTCTCATCTGCCCGAGGACCCCCGGCGCATCCGTGAATGTGGCTTTCCTGACCCCTGGCTGCACGCTCCAGCGTGGCCACCTCTCACTCACACGTCCCAGCTACCAGCACCCCTTTCTCTTTCTAGTCTGAAGGCAGCATCTGCAACAGCGGAGCCCCTAGTGTCACCTATCAACCCAGTGGGGTCAGGGGCCCTGGGGTCCCCACTTGATAAATGACTCAATCAGGAAAGGGAGCAATCTTTGCCCTCCCCCCTTGTCCCACACCCACAGTCAAACAGTGGCTTCTCACCACTCCAGGCTCCTTTACAAGAGAGCCCAAGCTCCTGCCAGAGCTTCCACATTATTCAGACGCTCCCTGAGCTCATGAGTCAGTCTAGTGCTTTGCCACTTGAGGGGAAATCAGTACTAGAAATGAGGCCGAGTCAGTGACGGGACAGAAGAAAGCCCCAGGGACCAAGGATGGGGCTCAGGACACCTGGGTTCAAGCCCTGCTCTGCCAGGGGCTGGCGACCTAGGGCAAGTCACCCCCCGGCCAGGCCTGTTTCCTCCTTGTTAAATGAAGGAGCCAGACCAAATCACCCCAGCTCTACGCGCCTAGCCATCTTTTTGTAATTAACATTTCAACTGATTACATGAGTCAGAGGAAACCAAACAGAATGAAGATGATGATGAACACAAAAATGTTTTATAGTGGAATTCACACAACGCACATACCCTAGTGTCATTCCACAATGAAAAGCCTATTAAAATATGATCAGACGCAGCAGAGGCCAACGCATGCTGTTTAAGCAGAGAGAAACGGGAGCTGCTTCCAGCAGCCCTTGTTGGAAAGAATGGCCGCCCAGGATGGGGTGGGGTGGGTGCAGGGCCTGCCATCGGTGACCCCAGCAGCAAACACTGGCCTGGAGGATTAACCCAGATAAAGAGGCCTTTTACAGGGTCCAGTCTCTTGTGCTGTGACCCAAACAGAGGACACATGTGTGCCCTTGGGATTGCTGCTTCCTCTGCCCCATCCATGCCCTGGCCATCTCTGGCCTACATGCAGGCCCTGGCTCAGCGTCTACCCCCTGTGCCCAGGCTGTCAGGAGGGCAGTGAGGAGACTTCGCAGCCCCCAGTAGCTCTCAGCAGACTTGCAGACCTCTGGGGGCTTCTGGAATGATCCAGACCCATATATAATTTCAGGGTTTCCTTACTTTTCCAGTCTGGGACTGAAACTCAACCTCTAAGCATTTACAAGAAACAACAGGAAAATTCAGTCCCCTTTCCTCCCATAGCACACTGGGATGAGAGTTTTGCAGTTTAAAATCTCCTTCAAAGAAAATACAGCATAATGTGCTGAATAAAGAAGCCAATAGATCCAGGAGGGAGGAAGTGTCGCCCGCTCTGCCCGCGAGCTGACTAAGCTCAGGCACTAGGGGGTTTCTGATCCGTGAGCAGGTCAGCCGGGCTCTGGCTGCACCCACCCCACCTCGGTGTACAGAGGTCACTGAAAGCTTCAAGTGGAAAAAGAGAGTGTTTCACAGCCTAAGAAAATGTTATATCTATCTATCTACCTACCTACCTATCTATCTCAGATTATATAACAGGTACTCTTCTAAGCATTTCTCAAACATGAACTCATTTAGTGCCATTTTACAGATGAGAAAACCAACAGCCAAGGTCACTTTGCTACTAAATGGTGGATCCAGGAGTTGAGCCCAGGCTGGTCTAGAATGCAGGCTCCTAACCTCATGCCAGGCTCTCTAGGCAGGATGGGGGACAGAACTGAGGTGGGCGGTGGGGCTGGCTCAGGGCTGCCAGGTGGGCTCAGCAGGCCTGGAGCTGGCTGAGAGCCATAGGAGCAGCAGTGACCGAGTGAGCTGGCCCTAAAAGGGCAGCAGGAAGGAGGGAGGGAGCCAGCCCTCTCACAAGATCTCGGCTCAGAGCCCCCAGGAGCCCGGCCCCAGAGAGTCAGGTGAGCCAAGACCAGTTGGAATAGGGCAGGCACTGTAGGAAGGGAGGGGACCTCGCCGAGAACGGCCAGAGAAGATGTTCTCTTTGATGGGGAGCAAATTGGGTCCTGGTAGGGGCAGCAGGGAGAGGGCCTTTGGGGGGAGTCAGAGACTCTGGCATCCATCGGACTCTTCCTGGGAAGCTGACGGTCTCTCATTTGGAGCCGTGGCCAGTGCATACCCAGGGCCAGCCTGCCCTCTGCTGGGCCTGTTGAGGGACCTGAAAACAGAGGCAGCATCCTCAGATCAGGCTCTCAGAGGCCCCTTTCAAGTCCATGCTCATAAACTGGGAGTGACAATTCCCAAAATCCCTAATAGAGAACTGATTATACGTTTACTGTCATCCATCCTAACCACTTATTTGACTAGGAATTTTTAGTTTATGTTCTACTTGTCAATGAAATCACTGCTTCAATTGTATAAAATATGTGAGTAGTATTTTTTCATCACAGCTGGGGGCAGGAAGGGGAGCTTTGAGGGGCAGAGGGTAAAAGTCTGGGCTCCGGGTCACCCCACCCCAGCACGTCGGGGTCTGTTCAAATTTACGTGGAAAACAAGAATATTGCTCTATGTTTGAAGTTAGATCCTCTTGACCACCTGCTGGCAGGTCCTTAATGAGGGACCTCATGACACAAGACATGGCTCAGGTTCCAGGGGCCGTTTGGAATTTGACACTCAAGACCTAACTGCCCAAAACGCTTGACTCGGGGCTTACCTGAAACCCTCCACAGTTAGGAGCAGGGGTGGAAGTCTGTTACGAATACAGCGTGTCACCCATTTGAGACATGTTTCTTTTCCCCTCTGTTAATTTCATTGTTTAAGTCAGGCTAGATATTTTCAAAGCTCTTTATCAGTTGCCTTAAACACACTCTGATCCCACACGACAGTTATAGAGGATCAGAAGTCCAGCTGATTTGCATCTTTTCATGACCCACACTTAATCACCAATAAAATCCCAGCCTCCAGGCACACTAGCTTCCAGTCACTGCTGTTACTTGAGTGTTTGCGGAAGAAAGTCTAACTTTGCTTTCCCTGGGCCGGGGGCTGGCAGCTATAGCAAGAATGAATTCCACAGGCCACAGACCAGGTGGCATAACAGCAGGAGTTTTCTATACCTGGACTTAACTTAGGAGAACGTATATTCCAACGGAATCTGGTAACCTCAGGCACATGTCAGGGAAGACTCAGTCCCTCTCAGCTCTGGCTATGCATTCTCCTTCCCTGGGCTGGTCCTCTTCACCATCTCCATTGCTACCACCTGTCCATGAGTCTAGGACTGCAGTGTTCAACCAGAGAGTGTAGCCGCATGTTGCTATTTAAATTTTAATTGATTAAATAAAATGAAATTTAAAATCCCCCTCCTCAGTCACACTAGCCAGACTCCACGTGCTCACTGGCCGCATGTGGCCGTGGCTCCTGTCCTGGACAGCACAACTACAGATCATCTCCATCATGGCAGAAAGTCCCATTGGACAGCACTCCTCCAGGATCTGCCAGAGAACAAAAGAGGCAATGATCCCCGCCTGCTCGTGGGTCTCCTGCCCCCACCCCGTCCCTCTCCCACACGGCAGGCGGAGCATGAATCACTGTCATCGCCTCTGCTTAAACTTTCCCGTTGCCCATTCCAGTGACCAGAAAAAAATTCAAGTTCCTTCTGTGGCCAGCCAGGCCTTGTGTTCATCCAGCATTCCACAATATCTGCTGAGCACAAACTATGTGCCAGGCACTGACCTGGGAACTTCAAATATCAAATGATATCAGAGCAAAGAGTCAAAAGTCCTCACCTCCATGGAGCTATTTAGTGGGAGGTGGGAAAACCGTAAGCATTTAGTTAATGAGTAAAGGATAATGGGATAGAAGATGGAAAGTGCAGTGACAGAAAAAAGCAGATCAGGGTGGCCTCATTGCCAGGAGGCAGGAGTGTTCCAGGCAGGGGAATCAGCCAGTGTAGAGGCCTCAATGTGGGGGCAGCCCTGGGTTTGAGGAATGGCCAAGGGGCCCGTGGGACTGGGATGAGAGAGCAAGGGGAAATGGCAGGAAACCAGGGGGGAGAGGATGAGAGTGGGCCGTGCAGGGCCTTGGGGGCCACAGGAAGGGCTGAGCGTCCATCTGAGTAGTGGGAGTCTCAGCAGGGTTTGAGCGGAGTGACAGGCACAGCTCACATTCGAAAGGCTCCCTCCAGCTGCTGCTCGTAGAGAGACCAGGGTGGGTGCTGTGGGCAGGGACTAGTGCCCACCCACCGGCAGGGAGAGCGATGGAGGCGTGCATTTGGGGCGCAGCATGGAGATGGGGAGAGGTGGTCAGAGTCTGGACTTAGCTGAAGGACGAGCTTACAGGATCCCCGGCCAGTGGGGTGCGGGGTGGGAGAGCAGAGCCCAGGACGGCTCCTGGCTCGGGGCCTGAACCACGGGAAGGATGGAGGTGTCTGAGGTGGGGAAGGCAGTGGGTGGGCAGGTTTTTGGGTGGTGGGAAGGAGCGTGAAGTGCTCACTAGACATCTTGGTGCAGGGGAGGCAGAGCTCTGGAGAGAAGTCTGGTCTAGGGACGTGAACTGAAGGTTAGAAAGTCGGCCCAGAGTGTGTCCTCTCCCCTCCCTCCTCACTCATCCTCAGTCTGGCCACTCGCACCTCCTTTTTCACCCAAAATGGCCCACGCTCGTTTCCTGCCGTGGCCTCCTGTCCAGGCTCGCTGTCCCACGTTACCCTGTGTCATGCTTTCCGCGGAACTTAGCAGCTCCCGAAACGACCTCCATCGCGTACACGTGTTGTCCAGCCTCCCAGGACAGTATCGGCTCTTTGAGGACAGGCACTCGTCCTGCTCACGGCCGCGTCTCTGGCACTAGAACAGTCCCCGGCCGGGGCTGGCACTCAGCATCTCAACACAGCCCACCAGCCCTCCCACGGGCCTGTCTCTGCGCTGCCCCGCGGCCACTGCTGCTCTTATGCCATCGCACCCCGGAGGTGACGTGGGGCCCCACTGCGAGGCCAGGGACCCAGATGGTCACTGTTGCTCCCGGGACCCTAATGAAAAGGAAAATCCTTCCTGCACCCAGCAGGACGCAGCCCCAGGGTATGAGACATCCTCCCACACACTCACACCCACACTCCCACACAAACGCACACTCACACAACTCTCTTACCCACACACATAAACACACACCCACACGCTTACACACACAAATATACACCCACACTGTCATACACACTCACACACACTCCCTCACACGCACACACCAACACAAACACACACTCACCCACCTCCACACACAAATATGCACCCACATTCTCACACACACTCCCTCATACACAAACACACACCCACACAAACACACAAACTCTTACACACATAAACATGCACCCACACTCTCACACACTCAAGTACACACCCATGCTGTCACACATTCATGCACAAATACCCACACTCACATACACACACATGCACTCACACCCACACACTCACACATTTGCGTACACAAACATCCACTACACCCACAAACACACCCACACTCTTACACTCACACAAATGCACACTCTTGCACAATCACGCACACTTACACACACATACTCACAGGGTTTAACTCTTTTTCTCTGCCTCCCCCTTTCCCATTCCTGGCAAGGGTTTTAGGCAGGGAAACCAGGAAAGCCTGAAAAACCACCTCTACCTGACTGTGCATTTTTAAAAATTTAAAGGAGAATATTAAGTATTGACTATGAATTTGATTTATGATGAGGAGTGGCTCTGACATGTCTTTTTTAATTAGGGGCACCATTCAAAAGGGTGACAAATGGAAGATACCAACTTGGCCTGTGGGAATCATATCTTGTCCTGATTCCTGAGTGGATACCACAAATCTCTAAAGCTGTCAGGAAACGCTGCAGAATGCTGATAAGCACAATAGGAACAGTGGAAATGTATATAAACATATTTTGGGGCGGAGAGGGGCGGTGGTAACGATTTTCCCTTTTGTTCTGAGCGTCCGGCCGGCCGGGGCAGACGGCCCGCGCGCAGGGGTCCGCGCGCCGGGGAGGAGCGCCCCCTGGAGGACGCTGGCCACCTGCTCCTCCTCCCCGGGGCGGCGCGACCGTCCGCTTCCCAGAGCCCTGAGGTCGGCTCTCTGCAGAGCTGTGGCCGGGGTGGGAGCACGAAGTGCTTCTTCATCGTCTCCACTGGAGCGGAGGGTCAAATCGTTTGTGCGCTGTTTAAAACTTTTAAATAAATGTCCTCTAATTCCCAGCCTAGGAAGCAGAGTTGGGGGGGGCAGAGGAGGGGGGCTCTTCTGTGCCACCGTCCCCTCAGCCATCCCCACCACCCTCCCTGCGGGCACACTGGAGGCACAGTCGTGAGGGTCCCGCAGACGCCAGCTCAGTGGACTGTGCAGGCTCCCCGCTATCAGTTACAACCAGGGAGGTGTCCTGCTGGGGTCCCTGCCCCTTCCCCCTGCTGTTTTGTGTTTATGGGAAGCTTTCCATCAAGTTCTTGTCTTCTGAATACGCTCGAGGCCACACAGACTTTCCTCTAGGGGTCAGATTGGAAATGGCAGGCAAGAAGAAGTGGGTGCCCTCTCCCCTGTACTTCTCAGGGGCCAGGCTGGTCCTGCAGACCCTGCAGGTGACCCCAGCCATGAGGTCTGCAGGGGCACCTCACCCCTCAGTCCAGACCCACAGCTCAGGAGGGCAGGACTCAGCAGGGGACAGAACAGGAGTCCCTGGCTCCCGGATTTCCTGCTGGCCCTGCAATTTCAGCCCATCAGGCCAACCAGGTGACCAGGACTGAGGGGGGTTTCCAGAAAGCAGGACTTTCTGTGCTGAAATCAGAAAAGTCCTGGGTAAACCGGGACAAGTCGGTCACCCTAAGGCCAACCCTGCCTGCAGTCACCCCAACTGTAACGTTCCAGAGATTTTCTGGAAAGTTTTCTGTTCTGTCATTGGGTGACTGTTTCTGGATCTGAGGCAGGAACATGCTCTCGACTCTGGTAAGCCCACAATTGCTCATAAATTCCTAGCTCAGGGCCAGCAGTGCTCCAATATAGCTGCTGGCACCAGGCCCGTTCAGCTCCTTGAAGTGCAGCGTTACTGCAGACAGTGAAGGACAAATGAGACCCGTACCTCCTTCCTGGGGTTTTGGCAAGCTCTCACCTGCGCTTCTTTTGAGATCACCAAGCCCTGTCATCTTTCACAGATACTGCTGCCACCTTTTGTTTTCAGCTCCTTGGCTGACGCACTGGGTGAAGTTTACATGCTCAGTACATGAGCACACGTCCCCCTCAGGTTCCACTGTCACATATTCCTCACTTGCTCCTCCCAGGAGGTCTGCACCTTGCCCTCTGGCTTTGCCTTATCTGGAAGGGAAGTTACTGTTGATAAAGGAAAACATTATTGTGTGTCTTTCTGAATCTTTTGTTTATTCCCAGATAGAGGCTCTTGAGGTTAAAAGTCAGGAATTTGCCACCTTCACACTTTTTTTAATATGCGACCCGCCCCCAGAGAGTGTGGTCTCCTAACCAGCAGCCCAGTTAAAGGGTCTTGTGGAGCTGGAAGAAGCCAGCAGTCCATTTCTCACAGGTCATCCCCCTGGGATGACGCAGACAGGTTCTGACCTGTCTGCCCTCCTGGCTAACAGGATGATTTATGTGTCTTCTTCCCCTGAAAGAGACCGAATGCATGGATGCCCCTGTTCCTCACCTTTCAGGCACCCACACCCTTTGCCGTGAGACTTTCAGGGCCCCCACTGTGGGCGTGGCATTCTGCCCCATCCCTTGACTCCAGGCTCTGCCACCTGACTTGCTTTGGCCAATGTGATGTTAGTAAATGTGACACAAGCTGAGGGTTGAAGAAGCACTTGCCCCTCTCCCTCACTCTCTTGCTTCTCTTCCTTTGCCACTAGAACATGCCCAGGACAACCTGCTGGAGGGTGAGTCATGCGGAGTAGAGCCAAGTTCACCACTTGTCCCAGCTGTGTCCATCCTGGATCAGCCAACCTGCAGCTGACCAGCAGACATGTGGGTGAGCCCAGCCAAGACCAGAAGAACTGCCCAGCCAAGCCCAGCCTAAGCCACTGACCCACAGACCCATGAGCTGGTAAATCAATGCAAATAGTGTGACACTGTGAGGTTTTGTGGGGGTTTTATTACGCAGCATTATTGTGGCAATTGATGACAGATTCACTCTGCCTCCGCGTGGCTGCCTGAGGGAGTTTTCAGTTTCTCTGGAGGCTCAGGACCCCGCAGGGTGCCAGGTGCAGTTTGAGGCAGAAGGCACCGATGGAAAGAGCCTGGTGTCAGGGAGACCAGGGTGTGGACCTCGGGTGTGGCTGTGGGCAGGTTGGTTAACTTCTCTCAGGTTCAGTGGTCTCATCTCCAGAATGGAGACACAACTGACATTACTGCTCCTAAATTCTAACAGCTACAAGGTACTGAGCAATCACGTGTCTGCAATAATGTTAAGAGCTTTACATATAACAGCTCCTTAGATTTTCACCACAACCCTGTTAGAAATATGTCTGTTTTGCAGATGAAGAGGCTGAGGTACCATGTGGTTAATTGAATTGACCGGGGCACACGGCATAGGTTATATTATTTTGTTTTATGTGTGTTTTGCTTTGAGCAGCACATACAATTTTCCATAGAATATGATCTCAACTAAACCAAAATGTAGATAAATAAGACTGGAAAAAGATATGTCAATACATAAATAGCAGTTGCCTCTAACTATTGGGTTTTGAAAATTTTTCTTTATTTTTGTATTAACAAAATTGTTTATAAATGTGTACTATCTTTACAATAAGACATAGCATTTTTAAACATTCCTTTTCACATAGTAGTTGACGATGTTCCTTTATCTTGTGACAAATTACAATATCTGGCTTTAGAGTTACCTCTTTCATATTTTTTATTGTAATTGATATAAGGCCATTTGTGTCAATAACCTCGAAGACTAGTTATTGTGGACCATTTCCTCCTAAAAACATCTAGAAATACTGGTAAAATATGTATTAGTTAGGATAGGCTAGGTTGAGGTAACAGACCCCAAAACATATGTTTCTTGGAAAGTTTGCAGAGGATCAATAGTCTTACTGAGAACAACAAGAAAGCTGATGACACACCAAAAAGCACTTGTTTGAAGGCACTGGAGAGTTTCAGAGGCAACCAGGCCTCAGGGACCAAGATTCCAGAGAGGGAAAAACTGTGGAAAGGTGAGCTGTATCTTGAAGCTGCTTTTTCACTCAGGGCACTTGGGGATCCTGGACAGAGGGCAAGAGGCAAAGGTACCAGGTCGGGGCTACTAGGGGGAGCAAGGAAACTAGCAAAGATGTTGACAAGCTTATAGGTCTGGAAAGACAATCATTGGATCCCTGGGGGTGGACAACCATTAGATCTCCCTTATGGGAGCTAGAATCCCATAAGATGGGGTAAAGAACTGAGCCCAACTCTCAGCCAATTTTCCCCTCAAGATATTTGAAGCTTTCTGAAGCTTCACAAGATGGAAACTAGAAAGGTAAACACGGAGCCTGAAAAGTGAGGTGAAGTTTTTAATAGTCTCACTGAGGACACAAGGCCCAGAGTTCAGGACCTACCATGGGGCACGGGCCCTGATGGGGCCTTAAAACCCTTAAAATCATGCTCCAGGAGTATGCATGAGCCCAGGGTGGGCAGAGGTGTACCAATACTGCCATCCAGCCCTGAGAGGCAGTGTTGAGTAGCCTCTACCCAGCTCCTGATTGGATTAAGGTGGCTGACCCCTACAGTCTATCCACCTTTCAGAAAAGGATGAACAATGTCCAGCATTCAATGAAAAATTACTAGGCATGCCAAGAGACAGGACCAAATGACCAAATATCTGGGGGGCGGGGCAGGGGGGGCGGGGAACCAGACAAGAGAAATCAACACCTAGGCTATCCAGTTATTGGACTTAGCTGATGAGGGTTTAAGAGATCTGTGATTAATTTGGTAAAGAGAACAGAGGAAAAGATGGATGAAAACTTAGAGAATTTCATCAGAGAATTAAAAAGCTATGCAAATGGAAATTTGATAACTAAAAATTCCAAGAACTAAAATTAAAATTAGATTTAATAGTAGATCAGAACCAGCAAAAGAGAGTATTAGTGAACTGGAAGACAGGTCAATATAAAAAATTTAGACTGAAACACAGTGAGAAAAAAAGACAGAAAAGAGTATAAAGGACATACAGAGTGAGGTGTAAAGATCTCACACGTGTGCAACTGCAGCCCCAGATGGAGAGAAAGAGACAACACAGTAGAGAAATATTTGAAGAACCAATAGCTGACAATTTTCCGAAACTGATGAGAAACATTAATCTGCAGATTTAAGAATCACTACATACCCCAAGCAAGATAAATGTAAAAGAAATCATACCTCAATATGGTTAAACTGCTAGAAAACAAAGACGAGAGAAAATCTTGAAAACAGCCAGAGAGAAAAGACACATTACCTTCAACGGAACCACAATGAGACTAAAGACTGACTTTTCAACAGAAATGACATGAAGTGTTGAAAGGAAGGAAATCCATATCCAATGAAAATAGCCTTCAAAAATGAAGGGAAAAAATAGGCATATAGACAGCAAAACAGAGAGACTTTGTTGCCAGTAGACCCACTCTAAAATAAACACCAACAGGAATTCTTCAGACAGAGGAAAATGAGCCCGGATGAAAAAACTGAAATGCAAGAAGAAATTAAGAGCTACTGAACAAGCAAATATGGAAATATAAACAAATATTAACTACACAAAACATCAAAAGTTATGTCTTCTGGGATTTGAAATAGGTAGAATTAATACAGAATTAATGTAGAATGTAAATTCTTGATAACAATAACAGAAAAGGGTGAAAGAATATGGTATTCTAAGATCCTAACACTGTGTGGAAGAAATAAAAGTCCTAAATTATATTAGACAGCAAGTCAAGGATGCATATTGTAACATCCAGGGTAATTATGAAAACACAAATAAAAGAATGATTTAGTACCAAGTTAATGCAGAGAAAACAGAATAATAAAACTATTAATCCATTAAGAAAGCATAAAAACAAAGTTATAGAAAAACAACATAAAATAGGTGCAACAAAGAGAAAACAAATAGTAAAATTGTAGCTACACATCCAAATATATTAATAATTATGTTAAATGTAAATGGATTAAATACTCTGAGTGGAACTAAAATGTCAGATCAGATTAAAAAAAACAAATGAACCAACTTGATTATATGCTGGTTATAAGAGATTCACCTCAAATAAGAGCAAAAAATGATGAAGGTGAAAGCTGGGGAAAAGCTATGCCAGATAAGCAGTAAACAAAAAGGAAAAAGAGAAAAAGCTACAGTCATATTGGGAGACGTTAGCACTCTCCTCTCAATAGAAACAGAAAATCAGCAAGGACGTAAATCTGAACAATTTGCTTGACCTAATTAACACCGTATCCAGCCATGACAGAGGACACATTCTTTTTAAGTGCACAAACATTTAATAAAATGAACCATAGGCTGGGTCATACAGCAAACCTCAACAAGTTGCAAGGGATTTACATCGTTCAGAAGTAAGTCCTCTGACCATCTCGAAATTAATCCAGGAATTAATCCCAAAAAGTGAATTAGAAAATTCCCATCTCTGCCCTGCTAGCCATCTCTTTCCCAAAAATATATGCTTATTCCTTTATAATTCATAGGCCAGCTTGAGAGAAGGAAAGGGGGCTCTTCTTGAGCCAGAAATAAAGTAGGAACTACAAGCCGGAAGGACCACTCACGAGCCAACACCACAGAGGCCCAGGGAGGGGTCGACTGTAAGTCTGTCTCCTTAGGGCGGGGGGCTGGGTTTTAACTCTCATAGGAGAGAGGAAATATGGCCTTGACATGCAAGAGGAAGGGGTGACCTGGGAGCTCTGAATAAAGTCGGGACCCTGGAAGACTGGTCCTTCTCATAAGAGGGACTGGGAGAACCTGAGAGAAATCTCAGAAACAAAAAGCTGACTCTGCTCAGACAAGGTGAGGCTGGAAAAAGGCTCCCTTAGAAATGGAAGCTCCCAGCCCACGCCACACAACCAGATGGAAAGTTTTAATTCACACTTCCCGCAAAGCAAGGACATCTCAAGCCAAAAAGTTATAAAATTTGGCCTCAGAGAGGTGACCCCTTGGATCCAGGCCAAAGCAAAGATAAATCCTTTCCTGGAGACACCTTCCACCCAGGGCACGAGGGACTCCCCTGGGAAAAAGTGCTAACATCACCTGAAGAAAATCTCACAATAATTTTTACAAATGACAAAGTACACGAGGAAACAATTAACAATATGGGAAAGTCAGCAGATAAAACAAACAGGATGAGTAGATCCCCCAAGCACTTGTGATAACAGAACAGTTCAAATGAAATTATAAATCATATTTTAGAAAATGTTTAAAATGATTAAATACATAAAGGAATCAAAACCATATTGAGAGAACAAGTTTCTATGAAAAATGACAGACTTGAAAATGAATCAAATTGAAGTTCTACGACTGAAAACGACCCAAAAGAGTCATTTAAAAACAAAAAACTTAACAGTTTAGAGAGGAGAATTGGTGGTTTAGTCAAGTAGGAAGTGTCAGTGAACTGGGAGATAAAGGTGAGGAAATTTCACAGAAGGCAGTGCAGACATAGAGAGGGAGAAAATCTGAAAGAGATGAAGAGACCGGGAGGAACAAGCACGAAGGGCCAGCCTGGAATCTAGCGGAAGTGCTGAGCGGGGTGGCAGACGGTGCTCGTGCGCGCCAAAAACGGGCTCTCCACCCAGGCACTTGGTCCGCTGCCTGGCCGTGTGATGAATTATGGCCACTGAAACGTGAGTGGACTGGACAGGTCACTTTTCAGCTGAGGCAGTGGTGAGGTCCCTCTCCTGATGCACGGGTGGAGAAGGTCATGTGTTCCAGAAGGTACGGCCCCCAGCTGGCGAGGGAGAAGGCTTGGAGCAGCTGGGATGTGTGAAAGAACCGGAGAAAGAGAGCTGGTGGGAAGTGGAGCTGAGGGTTACGAACTGGATCTCTGAAAGGAGTCTTTCAGTGGATGCTAGTAAAGTGGGATCATTTCCTTCAGTTGTTAGACAGTGTTTCTTTGATCGTCCTGGCAATGTGGGGCACGGGGATTTATCTGGGTTATGCTGAGCTTGGCTCATCATGGACATTCCTAGAGCTGCACTGTAGCAGCTTCTCCAGATCTGCCCTTTGGAAGCCCAGCCCAGCCCAGCCCAGCCCAGCCCAGCCCAGCCAGGCTGGCAAACTCCTCACTGCTGGAGGGAGAGCAGGCCAGGAGGAAGGGGGAGAAGGGAGGGAAAGAAGGGAGAGAACAGAAAGAACCCAAATGAAAGAGGAGGTCAGGTCTGCCCTGTAAGACCAGGGAAGCAGAATGAGTACCCGCTGCCAGTGGAGGTCCAGACCTCAGTGTGGCTAAACTAAGGCAGGATGAGTGCTCAGTTAGCCGGAGGCCCTGGGAAAGCCGGGTGGGGGGGGGGGAGCCCTACAATCCCCCAGATCTGCCCTGTTCCCTCTCCCCACATCTAGAAAAGGACGGCCCCCAGGACAGGGGTAGCAGAGCCTGCCTGCATAGGGCTAAGAGGCCACAGAGCAGGCAGGCTATTTGCGGAGGAAAGAGGAGAGCCCAGAGTGGAGGGGATGCTGGGAGGAGTGAGGAGGCGGAGGCAGGGCAAGGCTGGGGAGGATGGAGCTCTGTAGGTCCGCAGGCAGAGGCTGCAAGCCCAGCCCCCCCATCACTACACCCCTTCCTCTGAGGTCCCCCTGGGGTGGGTGATGGCTCCCTAGGGGCTCTCCTCCGCCGTGCACAGTCTTAGAGGCCAAAGCGCAGGTTGGCTCAGGACAGGTGTTTGGAAGGGTGGGCTGGGAAGGGGAGGCATCCACCGGTGAAAGGACCGAGGTGGGGAGGGGCTGGGGAGGAGGTGTCTGGACCACCACCAGTCCCGAAGGGGCCGAAGGCTCTCCGCTCAGCCCATCAGGAGGCTGTGTTCTGGAGGCGCCAGATGGAGTGGAGGGAGCACCGGACGGGAGTCAGGCCGGCTCCCAGGGAGCCCAGCTCCGCGGCTGGCCCTCTCCCAGCCTCCATTTCCCTGCACTTGGGGCGATGGATCGTGCCTGGCCTGCGGGGCGCTCCGTTGAGACGGGGTCCGGGGGCGGAGAGTGGAGACCAAGAGACAGGCGGGGCGCACCTCTGGGGGCTCCCACGACCAGCCTTCCCCCCCACCCCCACCTCCGACATTGCTGCATTTTCAGAACAACGCTCCGGATTGGCTAAAATCTTAGTCCTTCCACCCTTGGGCGCCCTGTTACTGGGGTTACGCTCGGCCCCCGGGAGCTCCCTGGCCCAGGTGAGAGGTGAAGGGGAAGAGAGTGGGGGTCAAGCGGGGGGTCCAGATGGGTGATGGGCACCTGCCAGGGCAGCCCTGGAGAGGTTGGCTAAGCAAGCCTTCCTGACTGCAGTGCCCGCGCGGCCACACGGGGGCAGCGCAGGGCTACGTTTCCGGTGCCTCCTGCTCCCAGGGTGAGCTGTCCCCGGAACCCCAGGAGGTTGGGGAGGGGGTTGCCGCTCCGCAGCCGCACCCCTTTCTCCACCTCTCTCCACATACTTCCTCTGCAAAATGCCTTAGGAACTTAAGCAGCTGGAGGAAAGGGGCAGATTTTCAAAAGACAATAAAGAGGTGGGCAGATCTGAAAGGGGCCCCTGAAATCCTCCAGACCCCTACCTTGGTCAGTGGCTGGGAAAACTGAGGCTCTGAGAAGTTAAATCGCTTGCCCAATCGTCCAGATCCCTAGCTCCCAGTTCAGTTCTTCCTCGAGGCATCCACTGCCTCCCTCTTAGGAACATAACTCCACTGCTGGTTGTCTGGGGGTAGGGCTCCCCAGGATTTGCTGTGTGGATGCGAGATGGAAACACACAAATGACTACAGACTCAGTTAGAAAACAATCAATGCCACATTGGATGGGAGAGGGACTAAGAAGGCGGAGAGACCTCCTCATGCTGGTCAAGAGGTGGGAGGGAGGATGGAATCCAGGAGGCCATCATGGAGGAGGAGGCAACACTGGAACTTGTCTTTGGGGTGGGGTAAAAAGCTGGCTCAGTTCGACAATGGGGAGGGTGGGCACTCCTGGTGGCTTGGCAAAGGCAGGGAGGCAGAAAATTTGGAGTGTAGTTGAGGTGCATGCTCTCTTAGAAGAAGATAGAGGCCATACAGAAGGTTGCCCGTATTCTGAGGTCCGTGCAGGCTGCCCACATCTCTGCCTTTAGAATTGGGGGCTGGCTTGGTTTTGGAATTTTCCTGAATTCCATTATGTTGAAAGTGCAGCAAAGGGCGGTTGTCCAGATTATCTCATGTGGAGGTAGGAGCAAATAATGGTCTCCATAGTGACTGTGGAGCCTAATTTGGGATGTCCAGCTGCCCCTCCAAGATCTGGAGCCCAGCCCTGAAGAGAAAAGCGGCCACTCCCCACTCCTTGACCATGACTCGAACCCACAGAGGCGGCAGGAGCTGCTGACCTCAGAACTGGTGGTCGGGGGCAGCCCGGATTCCTGGGCTCTGAGAAAGCCTCACACTGTGAGGTGCGGGGCCCATGGAACAACCAGTCCCCCTGCTCAACCTCCCAGAAAGTCAGGGGCTCCCCCTGGGGGTCAGCAGCGCCCTCAGCTCAGCTTCCCACCATCCAGGTGGATGCAGGACACAGAAGGGATGCAGTAAGGGGGCGTCAGAGGCTAGCATCAGGTCTCTGCCCCAGCGGCCCCTGCACGGCTGGCCATCGGTTGGGTTGCAGGGAAGGCGGGCACTGTCCAGGTCAATTCTGCTGCTTCCACAAGGGAATGACCTTGACGCTGCCACCCGGCCCTGGCTCAGTTCCCAGTGGCTGCGTCGGCCTCCCAGCCCAGACTTTGTCCGGAAGCTTCACTCAGCTCCACCTGAGGCTCTGCCCTCTCCACCGCCTCCTTGGAAACTCAGACTTCAGGGACTCAGAGGCAAGAAGCAGAGGTTAAATCAGGCCCTGGATCCAGCAGACCTGAGATCAAGGACCAGCTCTCCTCCTTAGTAGCTGGGGGGTCTGGGCTCATTATTTGGCCCCTCTGAGCCTCGGTTCCCTCACCTGTGTGATGGTGGACCTAAACAAAGATAGAACCTCCCTCGTAGGGTTGTGGTGAGGACCCAAGGAGACAGACACGCAGAGGTGCACTTAGCACACGGCCTGGCACTTAGCATGTCCTCAGTAAAGAGCTGGCACCGTCATTACTCACCATCGCAGGTGGTCTCTTATCCGGCCTCCCCACCTGACAGGTGTCTGTCTCTCTGTCCCCTAAACATCCCAGCTGATGCTCTGGGCTCTTGGCCATTCTGCAAAATGCCCTCCGGTTGACTTTCTGCTCCCACAAGTCACTTCTGTTTGTTCCCAAGTCTGTCTTACGCCAGGTGTGCTTGATATTATAAGTGCACGATTTAATTAAATATATCAAACAGCACTTCTCAAACTGTTTAGCATCAAGAGTCCTTTACACTCTTAAAAATTATTGAAGATCCCAAAGAGATTTTGTTTTTGTGGTTTACGTCTATCAATATATTAGAAATTAAATCTGAGAATTTCTAAAGCACGTGAATGCACAAGCACACACTCCATCAGCTGTCGGAGTGGGCTGTGGCCACAGGAAATCGTCACTTGTACATTCGCGAGGAAATGAGACCCTAAAGGAAGAATGACGTCTTGGTATGATCGTGAGAATAGTTTTGTCTGGTGGATCTTCTGACAGGGTCTCAAGGGTCCCCAGCATCCCTGGACCACCCTTTGAGAACCACTGATGTAAACTAATGAGATATGAGTGCAAAATATGAGTTGCTCTCTGAAAACCAGGTTGAAAGCTTTAGAAAGTCCCAGCATAGAGGAGGGAAATAATTTGGGGAGAATAACCATACAAATGATGAAAGACTCTGCTTTCAGATGGTTCTGCAAGTGTCTTCCGGTTCTCATGCCCCATGAGAGGACCAAAACCAGAAACCATCGCTGATTCATCATGATGTGGTTTCTGCAACAAAGGTGACCCAGAACTCTTATCTGCAGACTCATATTCAGAGGAAAGCCTATGTCCCTTTCATCAAAAGACAAATTAATGTACTTTAAATATTTTAAGTAAAATAAAACGCTTAAGAGATATATGTGTGGTTAAGTAGGCTTTCCCCACTTACCCAACTTGCCCAATTAACTCTATAATTACAGATGCTGTGAGAATGTTGACCCAACCAGGCCATCCTCTCCCACCATGGACTTCCATGAGGTGAAGGCACCAGCCTTTCAAATACTTGGGAAGGGTGTGCCAGGCAAGGGAACAGCAAGGGCACAAGCCTGGCACAGGGAAGGGCTTGGCATGCTGGAGGGACCGCTTGGAGGTCAACGTGGCTGGACTTCAGTGGGCCGGGCGAGTGGGGGTGGCTGAGGTCTCAGGGTCAGCAGGGCAGCTCAAGGAGAGTCTGGAGGGCCATGGGCAGGTCTTTGCATTTTATCCTAAGTGAGCTGGGAGGTTGGGGAGGGTTTCAAGGAAGAGAGTGACATGGTTTGAGGGATGTTTTAAAAGATCGCCCTGGCTGGAGATTGCAGGGAAAGAGCGGCAGTTGGGGGCCAGGAGGGCCTTGGCCGGGCTCTCGCCACTGCAGGGCAGGTGGAGGAGGAGGGAGGATGTTCTAAAGTGTAGGTTTTCTTATGATTCAGGCATGGTGACGCCAACAGAGCAGGAGACGACTGCCATTGAAAAGACAGTTTGTCACTCACAGTTCCCAAGAGAAGGGGGCATGCCACACCACACCACAGGGCCGCATGGGGAAGCACCAGGGTGGGGCAGGAGGCAGAGGGTAGGGAATTTGGTCAAGGGCCTTTATCGTGGTTTCAGGGCAGGAATGGGCGCAGAGGCTGATCAGGCTGCACAGGGTGAGGACTGGCTGGTTTGAGTGACTTCGGGGCTCCAGGCTAGGTGCTGTGCTAGCTGTCTGCTATCTGGCCCTGGGGAGATCAGGGAGGTGGACAGCGGCCGGAGCATAAGTGACCAATAAAGGAGGTGGTCTGGAGCATGGGTTCTGGATCGGGTGGTTTGCGTATCAAAGGCTCAGTCTCGGGGCAGTTGTTCGCTGTCTCTAGGAAATAGCTGGCCTGGAGGGGCGGTCCCTCCCAGGTCAGCAAGTTCCCAAGAAGTCAAAGCATCATAAAATCCAGAGAATAGAACACATGATCATACAGGGGCGACGGTGAGGAGCGGTCAGGGTCAGGGGGCGGAGGCAGCAGAGCGGTGGCTTCTGCGAGGTGGGAGAAGAGAGGAACGTGAGAGAGTGACCTGGGAAGGGGTGGAGGGTGACTGTGTGGTCATGCTGGTCTCGGAGGATGGGACACTTAAGGGGACCTGAAGGAAGTAGCCAAGGGGCAGAGCCACCCATGCAGAAGAGATAGTAAGGGCAGGAGAGCAGGTGAAGTGGGTTCCAGGGTCAGTGGGAGAGAGAGCAGTGACCTGGTGGGAGCTTCAAGACTTGGTCTACACAGGCTGGCCGCTGTGACTGAGAAGGGCCCCGGTGGGGGAGGGGCCCAGTGGGGCAGGGGCAGACCCCAAGGGCTCTGGTTTGCTTAGTTAGTTTGGAGATGCCCTAACGCCAGTGGCGACATGCACCAGCTGGCAGCTCAGGGCTGAGGTCTGGGTGTCATCAGCACAGACGTGGCGGTTGAGGCCATGGACTGGCTAAGACTGGTCATGGGAGAGGACAGCTAGATCAGAGGGCTGAGGACTGAGCTGTGGGGCACCCCAACATTTCAAGGTCAGAAAGAAGAGGCCGTACCAGGGAGGAGCAGCTATGGAGGTTGGAGTCTAGTGTCCTGGAAACCCGGTAAGGGCGTTCAGAAGGAGGTTAGCGGGGCCGGGAGATGGAGCTAAGGATGGTCTTTACAGAGGAACTTCTGCAATCAATTTGGTAACTTTGAACCTCAAGGAAGCGAAATGTTACCCACCCCCAAAAAGAATTCCATCTTCTCATAAGCAGACCTGTACTACCAAAAAATTGTACTGAATTATTATATTTAAAATTTTGTCAGTAAATGTTTGTGGAAATTTGTTTTCTCTCCTGTTATATGAGAAATTACATATCTCCTATTTTGCCTCTTGGGCCCACAAAGTCTATCACATTTGCTATCTGGCCCTTTACAGATAGCCATCTGAGCTACAGCAAGAAGGTGAAGGAACCATTCCGAGGAGGGATGAGGGCCGTGAGGCCCAGGGGTAGCTTCTGTAAGGCTCAGGGCATGGGGCTCGGAGCAGGAGTCCAGGGCCTTAGAGTCCCCTGACAGGCCCAAGCATGCTGGCATTGGTCCCCAGGCTACTGGGGAGAAGCTGGGTCATCAGGTCCAGCGCGGTCACTGAGGCAGATGGGGAGGTGACACAGGGAATGCAGTGGCCTGGGGAGGGGTGGAGGTCTCACCAGGAATACGTCACTGTCCCCAGACCTCCCCAGGGGCACTCATGGCTGTTGCAGTTCTGCATTACTTTGGATGAAGCTCTGATCAGTATCTGTCAATTTCTGATCGATACCCGTCTGCTGCACTAGACCCCAGCTCCATGTGGGCAGGGACCGGGTCTGCTCTCCCGGGAACCTCCAGTGCCCGGCACCCAGTCGGGACTCCATGAATATCTGATGGGAGAACAAGTGGAGGAATCAGAGAAGGAGAAAGTGAACAGCCCCCACCCTGCCCACCCCAATGCCTGGCCCGGCGCCTTGTGCAAAGTAGATGTTCAGAAAATATGTGTTAAAAAATTAAATTTTGACTCTTTGCACACTTTCTAGCTGGAGTGTGTCCCCTTGGTGCCTCTGCGGCAGTCAGGCGGGGCTGAGCCCAGGGACCAGCAGTCCTCTTCTGATGAGACTGCCAGCCCCCTACAGCCAGCCCCCGAGGCCTGCCCCTCCTGTGGTTGGGAGACTTAGATGACTCCCCCCAGCCAGCCCAGGGTGGAGAGGACGCTTCTGCCAGCAGGAGTCTCAGCTGAGAGAGTTTGGGCCGAACAAAGTCCTGTTATTTCCCTTTGTTTCCCCCCAGAAGCTCCCGTCTCCACCCAGAGCCCTAGGTGGGTAGGTCCGCAGAAAGCCCTGGCCCAGAAGACCCAGGAACCACCGCCCCGTCCCTGCGGGCCTTCAAAATGGGGGCTGGAGGGAGGGGAAGGAGTCCTGACACATGATATGCAGACAGGCTGCTGCGGGGAGACTGGGGGGCTGTGCAGGGGTGGTGGGGGAGTACAGTGTAGCACCATAGTTAAAAGCATTGACTTTGAAGTTAAAAAGCAAAAAATCTGGGGCCAGCCCAGAGGGGTAGTGGTTGAGTTTGGTGCACTCTGCTTCTGCAGCCCACAGTTTGCTGGTTCGGATCCCAGGCGTGGACCTACACCACTCGTCAGCCATGCTGTGGCAGCAACCCACATATAAGTAAAGGAAGATTGGCACAGATGTTAGCTCAGGGCTAATCTTCCTCAGGAAGGGAAAAAAAAAGTAAAAAATCTGAGTTGGCATTCTGCACTTTCTTTCTGGGGATCAGAGCTGTGTGACCTCAGGCAGGTGTGCAGCCTCTCTGATCCTCAGTTTGTACTTTTGTGTACCATTGCCTCATTAACTCTGACACCCACTCGTGAGGCCCACAGACCTGTGGATGTGGAAAGGACCAGTGGTGTCCCCAGGTTAGGGACGGGTGCATCCCAGGCCGTCCACTGGGGGACCCAGGCCTTGAATCCAGCTCCTCCAGCTCCAGGCCCTCTCCCCACACTGTCCCTCTCGGGTGGCAAAGTTTGGTGGGTGCAAGTCAGAGCATCCCTTGCGGTGGAAGAACACTGACCAGTGCCTGAGCCTCCGCGCGGGCAGAGTTGCGGGTGCCCAGCAAAAAGCCCCTAGGATCCCGGGGGCCTCCGTGCTCCCCACGCTGCTGCCCCAAGCAAGGAGCACTGTGGGAGAGGAGGCCCCTTCCTGTTCTCCTCTGTGCCCCAGACTCGGTGTGGGCCCCACAGGGCGGTCAGCGAGTGCTGCCCAGCACGCAATGCACTCGTCGACTCCTTGCTTTGCCCCGAGTGCGACAGTGAAGAGCACAGGGGCAGGCCTGAGTCAGTGCCTTGTGCCCCTGGCAGGAGGACACGGCCACTTCCGGTGGTGACTGAGGGTGAACTGTTGTTCCTCACGCGCCTGAGATTGCACCATTTCCACCTCTGTGCTCGGTCCTCATCCCGTGCAGGATCTCCGGGGACAGCGATCTGCATAGCCCTAAGGAACCCAGGACCCCCACAGTCCTCCGCCCTTCTGCCCAAGACCTGAGCAGGAGCGGGTCTGCAAAGGAGGGGAATGGAGAGGAACAGGGGCCGGCCAGGGCAGGAAGGCTGGGGACAGGGGCCAGGCTGGGAACAGGGGCTTCGGGAGCAGGGCAGAGCAGAGGCTGTTGAGTAGAGTCCAGCTTGGGGCCATCAGGCACAACGGATGAAAGTGAGGCTGGCGGTCAGCCTTCCAAAGCCATCCCTGGAGCATGAGGCTGGGGCCACAGTGGTCACTGGCCCGAGGCTCTCTCAGGGACCAGAAAACATTCTAGTTATTTTTGTGGCTTTCACAAGCTGGTCCCTTTGAAGCATGACTAATGCAAAAATAGCTGAACTTCAGAAACTTAAAACTGCCCATGTGGCTCGTGGGTCTCCTGGGGGAACTGAGAAAGAAACGTAAAAAAAAAAGACACAAAACTTGTAAGCACTCAAAAATCACTTCTACCTGGAACTGGAGAAAAGGTCCTCTCTCGGGTCAGGGGGCTCATGTGGGAGAAACGTACAAAAGAATGACTTGCCATTGAACTTGGGAGGAAGGTGGGTCTTCGGCCCCACCCTGTCCCGCTCACTCCAGTCCCAGGGCCCTGCCTGGACAGGAAGACGCACCATCTCAGAACCGACATGTGCGGAAGCTCCATCCTCTGCTAGGCAGCCACTGCCCACTCAGACCTGCTTGGGCCCCACAGGGCAGAGCCACAAGGGACAGGCCACTGGGCACCCACTCCATCCCTTCATGGCCCGACCGGCTCACTGGACCACCCCACTATGGCTGGTTGAATAATGGCCCCCAAAGATGTCTACGTCCTAATCCCCAGAACCTAGAAATACGTTACCTCACATGGCAAAAGGGGCTTTGCAGATGTGATCTTGAGATGGGGAGATGACGCTGAATTATCCAGTAAGCCCAGAGTAACCACAGGGTCCTTACAAGAGGCCAGAGGGTGGGAGTCAGAGAAGGTGACGTGACCACAGAAGCAGAGGGAAGCAGAGTCAGAGAGAGATTTGAAGATGCTACGCTTTGAAGATGGAGAAAGGGGCCACAAGCCAAGGAATGCAAGTGGCCCCTAGAAGCTGGAAAAGGCTAAGAAACGATTCTCCCCTAGAGCTTCCAGAAGGAAGATGGCCCTGCCCAGGCCTTCACTTTAGCCCAGTGGGATTGATTTTGGATTTCTGCCCTCCAAAACTAAGATAATAAACTTGTATTGTTTTCAGCCGCTCAGCTCAGGGTGAGTTGCTGCAGCAGCTGTGGGACACTAACGCAGCTCCCCAGGGCCGACTGGTGCTCCTGTGGCTGCAGCCTCCCCCCACGGGACCCGTTCTCTCTCAGCTGCTCTGCAGGGAGCCCTGCCAGGCGAGGTGCTGGGAAAGCGATGTCTCAACAGGATCTGCCTCGCCCACGGTTGCCCAGAGGGTGAGATTTCTAGAGCAACAGAAAAACACCCACCCACACACAATACCTCTCCCCCTGCTGCACGAGGCCTGAAATTCCTTTTGGAGAGAGGTCATTCCAAAGGGAGGTTTATACTAAGATGCAAATGACCCTCATCAGAATGCTCCCTGACAGCTGGTTCCCGAGCTGGGAATGGGTGGCCACACAGCAGAGACGGTTTTGGAAAGGCCCCCGGGAGAGGAAGTCATGCAATCAACCCTCAAGACTTGCCCATGTGTCCTGCGGCACCCCCTCCCCCAGCCCCTAGCCCCGGTCTCCCACTTGTCCCCCTTCTCCTCACAGGCACAGTCTTCTCTGCCGAGCAAAGCCGTTCCTGGCTTTGTCATCAAGAGATGGGGTCCTCCTTGTTTCTAGGTCTGGACTGGACTCACCAGCCTAGAACTGGACTCCCCCAACACACCACTGTTGGGGGCAGTGCTGGGGAGAGAGGCTGGCCCAGAGTGGGTCTTTCCAGAACTCGGGGACCAACCCAGCATCCATGCTGTCCCCGGAATGGCCCAGGCTTCCAGAACCCCAAACTTGAGACAATCCCATCTCCTCCCTTAGGCTTGCCCCACCCTGAACACAGCCAGGGGACCCTGAGTGTCTGGTGATAATGCATCCAGTAACACCAGGGGTCTCAAACTCGCAGCCCCCAGGGGCCAGGCCGGCCACAGAAATGAGGGAAGCAGCCACGTCGAGTAGCCTATTGGGAGTAGCAGGGCCTGTGGTCATGCAACTTTCAAATCCAAATGTCTGAAGGCAATGTTAGGCCTGTCTGTGGGCAGGGCCAGAACTCGTCACCATGACTCACCCCCATGGCCCCACGTCGGGGGTCCACGGTAACATAACATCTGAACCCTTCTGTCTCTCACCTGTCACCATATGCAGTTGGTCCCTTTCACAGAGTGTGCACAACGCATGCATGATGCAGGTAAAATGCTGAACTATTCCTGAGATTCATTCACACACAGTGCACACCGTGGGGAGAACCCGCCACGAGCGCTCATGATGGCGAGGAAGAGCACACCCGCTCAGGTACCAGGCACAGGGGTCCACATTTAATCATGTTAAATATTAATGAAAGTACAGCATAACTGCAGTTCACTTAACATACCAACACGACTAAGGGAGTACGATCTAATACAATCCGATACAGCTTTGGGGAACACAAAGTCATTTCAATACCAGGTCGTGAGAAATGCTCCATTTCGCTTTGGTTTTGGACGACAGGCTCTAGGCCCACCGCTCGAAACGGCATCTGTGCTGTCAACAAGACCCGGGCCTCGAACGAGAGAAAGCAAAGCCAGAAGATACGCCCTTTGGAGAAAAGCCCCTTGAGAGAAACTGTGTCCGGAGGGCACTGACTGGCACAGGATGGTGGGCCTGTGTATATAAAAAGATCTGTATAATAAACCAAATAATATTGGAAACGATACCTTCAGTAGTACTTCTGTAAGAAGCAGAATTACACTACATGTTATTCACATGCATAGGAGTGCGTAAGAATCCCTTGCTGTCATTATTGTTGGGATGGAATAGCAAAATACGTGCTGAAAATGACAAGCCACGTGGCAGAGAAATGACTCCATGAAAGGGGTGTGTCCAGAGCAGAGGAGCCTCACAGCAGACACAGAACTGAAGGGAACCCACTCAGAAAATGCATCCACGCGTGCACGCGTGCACACGCACACACACACACACACCCCGCACTGCAAATAAATACACACGCGCACTGAAGTGACATCTCCCAAAAGCACCATTGTGCTCAGGCCAGACCCCCCCCACTGGCTGCTGCTCCGAGTGCCGGCTTCGAGACAAAGGGGGGATTGTCCCCGAAAGGGGGTCTTCAGGACACACAGCTCTTTCAGTAGCCGAAATTGCCCGGCCATGCCAGTACCGAGAGCCCTCCGCACACCTTCCAATGGGCGCACCTCCCATCTCTGACGGCAGAGACAATGGCGCCAGGCTGGACCACTGGGCAAATCCTCAGGCCTGCGAGGGACGGTCGGGTATGTCGACATCTGCACTTTCTGACTTTGGTTCTGGTTTGCAGGAAGCTTCTCTTGACAACACTGGAGTGTAAAGCTTCGTTAGGGTCCCACCTGGGGCCGTGTGCCGAGTGGGCTCCAGTGTTCTCTTCACTCTTTCCCCATCACCTCCAAGAAATGATGAGACCTTTAGCCCATCCATCAGTAAATCAAGCTGCCGAGTGTCCCAGAAAGTTCCTTTAAGAATCCCAGCACACCACGTTCGGCCCGAGGAAAGCTTACGCATTGTGTTTCTGAATCAGGACACCAGTATCTTGTAGTTTGTGAAGGGAGCGAGGGCCTCTGGCCACACCTGGCGGAGAATGTGGCTAATAAGCTCCTTCCAGGGGGAAGGCAGAGCAACGGAGCCTGTCGGGCGGCCAGAACTACAACTTCGAACACGCTCCAGTTCTGATGACCTTGTGTGCGAGGAGAGCCCAAGCGACCTAAATTTTCCACGAAGTGTTTAATTCCTTGAAGTTGCTCAGTCCGGCAACTTCAACAGCAAAAATTTCCCTCCCAATTCTAAAGCGAATTTAGATTCCAATTATAACCTGAACGAAGTCTTGAGGAAACATCTAAAGCAGAAAAGAGAGCTAGGGCTAGTGAAATGCAGCAAGTGGTTTGTTTTAAATGCATTCATTTTCTATGTTAAACATAAGTAAAATCCACAAAGACAGAATGGGAGGAAGCCCAAGAGACGAACGTGCTACAAAAATGGACTTGTTTTTCCTCTTGTAAAGAATGAAGTTAACAGTGTTTATACGTGAAGAGACTGAAGCACTGACTTTGGTAAAAGGAACGGAAGAGCTTCCGTTCTCCGCCCAAATGAGGTTAGTGATCTAAACAGAGTGTTTCAAAACTGGATGTGAAGTGTAAGTTCTGGTACGCCGTCTAGCGTGCTCAATCGGATCCCAGAATCGTCAACCCTAGAGTCAGCTCCCCTCTGCGCACGCGGCCCAGCGCCCGCCGGCCTCGTCCCAGGAGCTCCGGCCCCTCCTGGACAGCAGGGAATTCTTTCGGAAGTGGAGTTTCCAGTGGCCTTGATGCAGGAGCTCTGAGAAGGGTCCATTGCTGGGCTACTGACCATCGCAAAGGGAATTCTGAGATGGTTATAAGAAACAAGTGCCTAGGGAGGGAAGGAAGACTCCAATCCCAGGTTTTCTCCATGCTATGAGTACAACGGCTCCCCACAGAGATTTCTGAACTCCTGATAACGATGAAACCGCGGGCCCCGGGCCGGCAGCAGGAAGCCAGCACTCACGTCGTCTTCCACGCGAACGCCTCGTCGGCGAGAACCTGTGCCAGCCTCACGTTGAAAGGCCCATAGAAGTCCTGCAGGATCCTCTGTGTGACCGGCCACATGGGCCCCAGGTTCCGGTCCTCGGGACGCCGCACGTTGGAGGCGGGGCTCTTTGTCATCAAGGCCTCTTGCTTCTCACTTAAGGGCCCTGGAAGAGAAAGACAAGAATCCTGTGAGGCAGGAGGCAAAAGGAACGTTACAAAAATCCCAGCCATGCTTCGTGTTGAGACAGGAGTTTCCCTAAAGAATGTGTTCAGAGATTAAAATTCTTTGGCTGGATCCATTTCGGAGGAGCCGAGGGTGGAAGGCAGCAACACCATCATGAAATAGCAGAGAGATTCCAGGCCCAGGGTTTAATGCCCGTCCTCGCAGATGCAGCTGGAACTGCCGGATGAAGCTTGCCTGAGCCTCACCTCCTGGCTTCATTTCCAGCTGCCTGTAAAGGGCTGGCTCCCACGGCCGACAGCCTGTCCCTGGATCACTGTGCAACCTGCAGGCACGGCCCATGCGCTTAGAGTTTCCTGCTAACCAGCCTGTTGGAATTCTGCCTCCCTCGTTTCTACTTCGGGCTGCTGCAAAGGGTCCCGTAGCTGGGCCATATTTCACCCTGTGTGTCGTGCTACGAAGTGGCCGTAGGGAGGCTGAGGAGAGGAGCCACCTGTGCCCAGAGACCCCACCTGCAGCAAGGATATCAGTGGGGAAAGACCCAGGAATGAGCCAGCAGGCACTGCCACCTGAGGCTGCCACCGCCACCCCCAGCCCTCTGGACCATAAGCCTCTCATTGACTTAACCCCCAGATCACTGTCCCGGCCTCTGTGCCCCAGGATCTCAGGATCTGGCCAAAGTCCTGAGCCCACACACAGAAAAACCATCTCCCAGTGTGCCAGGGTTACATGAGACAGAAGGATCAGAATTGGCCTTACCATCCATCTTAGAGAGCCCTGCATTCAACGTGTCTCAGAGATAAAGACAAGCTCATTAATGTGAGAGAGTCTACAGGAGGCCAAATCAAAGAAAAACAGTTCTACGCCTTAGAAGGAAAAAGTAGTCACACTCCATCGCATCACCAGCTCTCCAAGAAAAGGGGAAAGAAAATCAAATGATAACAAGGTCCTAAGACCCAGTGGTAGGCAAAGAGATTTCAAGAAGTACTCCATTAACAAAATTCCCAGGCAAGGTAATTAGGGCCACAGGAGGTGTGCTGGGAAGGAACATGAGCTCTGCTCCAGCCTTTGGAGCAGGCCTTGGGTACCCTGTCCACACGGACAGCGCTCTGCACCCATGTACACACCTCCACCAGCCGTCACCATGGCCAGTGGCGCGACCTGTTACCACAAAATGCCACTCGGGTCTCTAGGCGATGGCATCCTTGGGCTGGGGGCAGGCTCCCCCTCCCCAGAGGCCCAGCAGCCAAAACCCAGCCACACAGCTCTGACTCTAGGGGTCCCCAACCACCTGAAGCAATGCCATGACCTGTCTGTTCCCTCCTTCAAGCCCCGGATCCCCTGCAGGACTGTCCCAGCCATCTACTGACATCCTGCCCATCCTCAGGGCTCAGGTCTCAGACTAATTCCTTCCATGAAGTCTTCCATGACCCCTTTAGCAGCTGGGACTCCACCTCATCCGTAGGATGTGGGGTGTGACCACGCTAACCTTCCCCCACGTAATTTGAGCCGCGGCTCCCTCCTGTCCCTCCCCTGGACCATAAGCTCCAGACCAGACGCCATCTCTTCCTCCCCAGGGACCCCTCACCACACTGTGCACAAGGCCCCGCGTGCAGCTGGTCTCGATAAACAGGGACCGAGCTGGCCCCCAGTCAGCCAGTCCCTGCCCGGCTCACCACGTCTGCATGGGACTCAGGGAGCCCCTCACAGACCCATGTCCATGGAGCCCATGCCCTGCTCCACGGGTCTCCAGTGCCACATTCTCACCAAGGTTGAGAAACTGGAAGACCCTGTGCATGGTGTACTTGACGTTGGATGCGTGGTCCTCCAGGCGAAGAACGAGGAACTGTTCTTTATTAAAAACAGTGAGCCAGTCCAGAAGATACACGGCGTACAGCCCGACCTGGAGCCTCACCTGGGATCAGAGAAGAAGGCAGGCGTTATTTCAGGAGTAACCCCCCTACGTTGGAAGGCACTTTCCCAAAAGTATCACGGCGTGCATCATAAACCAAGGCCAAAGAGTTATCCTAGCAAACAGTCGCCTCCAGAAGTTGGATTTTAAACACCATGCGTTCTTGCTTCCTCGTGAAGGGTTTTCTGCTACACGCACAAAGGATTCCCACACTTAGGGTCGAAGTTAATCCTCACGATATCGCGGTAGGTAGCCCCACGGCACATTTCACTCAGTGAGGACTGAGGTGATGGAGAGGCCAAGGGCACACCCACCAATGGTGTGAATGTTCTTTGCACGACATCCTGGCTGTCTCTGCTCCTATGCCCAGCACACAACAGCCATGAAAAATACCCGAAAACATCTTGGAGATGAGCCAGGTGAGTGAACTGCCAAACGCCTGGGGCCACGCAGACGTCCGTGACCGTGAGGATGTGTGTACACCCGAATATGAGCAGCGTGGTGCCAAGCCGTTCCTTTCCACCCATACATGCTGGAGATCCTAATCCTTCTCTGGTGTCTTCTCTCATGCCAGACTGCAAGCTTGTGTAGTAAGAATAATCCTCACCCAAAGATAGGTCTGCCCTTTATCCTCAACTCCTGGGAGGTGACCTCTAGGCCACTTGGGATGTCCTGCCTGAGAAGAGTGTCTTTGCTTGCCTGGGGGATCTGGCCACTGGACAATCTAACAGCGCAAGTTATGACGGGGGCTTTGGGCCGACAGTATCAGCCTGACCTCCCCAAGGGACTGGAAACTAAAGGTCAGCCACGCAGGTAGTATGTGACGGAGCCCCAGTAAATACTCTGAACACCAAAGGCTTGGGGGTCTTCCCTGGTTGGCAATACTCCGTGCGTCCTGTCACACATGGCGGGCGGGGAGTTGACACTGCACATGCCTCTCGGGGACAGGATGACTGGAAGCTCTGCATTTGGACACCTCCTGGGTCTCCACGTGCTTCTTCCCTTGGCTGATTTTAATCTGTGTCCTTTCCCTCTTGTAAATCATAACCATGAGTATCATAGTCTTCAGTGTGTTCTGCGATTCCTTCCAGTGAATTACTGAACCCGAGGGTGGTTTCAGGGACCCCCCACAACCTGAAAATGGTGTCAGAAGTGAGAATGGTCTTGGGAACTGTTCCCTCTAACTTTGCAGCTGGCCCTAAACTCTTGGCAAAGCTCCAAAAAAAGGATGGGGCCCTTTCTCCTTCCGCTCTGAGGCCCCTTCTCCAGGGCTCCTTCTCCTGGACACCCACCCCTCTTTCAAGGACCCTGCTCCATGCGCTGTCTCCCGGTCTGCCTCTCTGTGGTCCTCCCAAATGCTTCTCATCCCCCACCTCTCCCTAGCTTAGTGCCACTCCCTGTGTTCCGGCCCCATCAGCACCTGCCTGGACACTGTCACAGCCTCCTAACTGGTGCTCCCCTCTGCAGTCTCTGAACGTCCGTCCATCCCTCGCCCTACCAGTGTGAGCTTTCCAAACCAATGGCCTGGCCACAGCCAGCCCCCACTCCAAGCCCCCCTGGCTCTCCAGGTGTGGAAAGTCCTTCATCTGGCATGAACTGCCAGCCCACACCTTAGCTCATGGAGTGGCCCCCAGCTCCCCAGGCTCCTCCTCCGAGTCTCCTTTCTTTAGGCAGACACTCCTGCAGCATGTTTCTTTTCCTTCCCAGCTCGACCCTGAGCTCCTCGAGGGCGGGGCCCACGACTCTTCCATCAGCGCTGGCTGCACACGGCCGTGCGCCCTAGCTAACTGCTCAACACGGTGGTGACAGTGAGATGAAACGCTTGACAAAATATGTACAGACACTAACTGGTTTCATCTCTCGCTATTCCCCTTCCGTTTCATTATTTTTCTAATCATGTAGGAGGATGTGGAGGAAGAAAAACAATTAGAGGGGATAAGCTGTCTCCAAAATTCATTAGTTGCCTCCAGCCCCCAGGTTGTCGCTACCTTCTACACCACTCATAGAGAAGACCTCAAGCTGGGCCAGAGCTCAGGAGAAAAGGAGTGTGTGCAGCCTCAGAAGTAAAGACACGCGTCGCCTCCAACACAGACGAGCCATTATGAGCACATCTTCTTGTTAAGTCATCGGCCTCACAGAGCTTTCCAATTCTCTCTCCGTCTGTTAGGCTCGCAGGCCAGCCCCTCGCAGGGAGGACCAGCCTGGCGAGGTTTCTCTCTTCCAGAGAACCTGTCTTTGCTACTCGAGAACTTTCTAGAAGGAAAAAAGCTGGGTATTTGTGGCAGGGTGGGGGTGTTTTAAATTAGCTTCAGCCCATCCCTGCACTTGCCATGAAAAAGAAAAAAGCATAAAAGCATGTTTGCGCCCATTGTGGGGAGAGTCCCCTTCCGTGTTCCCAGGAGGGCGAAGACCTACTGGCCGAGGCCTCCTTCACAGGCAGGGCTGGTTCCAGGCAGTGGAGGCGCCGTGGGGCAGAGAACAAACCGGTGAGTGCTCTGCAAGGGAAGAGGGGTGGGGAAGGCTCCTCGGCACACAGGCTGGTTCCCACAGGGGTGGGCTGCCCAGTCCCCCTGGACACTACCTCTTCCAGCCCACTCCAATGCCCCACTCACCGCCCACCCCCAGGCCCAGCCCCCTTACCAGCCAAGGAAAGTTCTGGTCACCTGGAGTGACAGTTTCTGGTGCATTCGGCATCACTACTAGACGTGCACCATGAAGACAAACCTAAGACAGGCCCACTCAGAAGGCGTTTTCCTCCCCTCTCCCCAGTATAGGCCAGAGAATCAAAATGGAATGAAGATAAAAAGGGTGTTGAGGGGAGGTGTGAATATATTTAAAATTAGAAAACATCAGAGCCAAGAGAAGCCTTTGAAGTTATCTGCTCCTGCCAACTTTGTGTGTGTGTGTGTGTGAGGAAGATCAGCCCTGTGCTAAGATCTGCCAATCCTCATCTTTTTTTTTGCTGAGGAAGACCGGCCCTGGGCTAACATCCATGCCTACCTTCCTCCACTTTATATGGGATGCCGCCACAGCATGGCTTGCCAAGCGGTGCGTCGGTGAGCGCCCGGGATCCGAACCAGTGAACTCCGGGCTCCGAACCGGCGAACTCCCGGCCACCGCAGCGGAGCGCGGGCACTTAACCACTTGCACCACCGGGCCAGCCCCAACTCCAGCCAACTTTTGATGGAAAAAGGTCAAAAGAAAAGACAGCAGGAAATGATGGGAGGGGCAGGGCCTGCCCAGGGTCAGCTGGCGGCACCCATCACAGCATGGACCTGAAGTCAGGGCCCTGAAATCGGGGCTTGTCCCCCACGCAGAGCAAGAGCCAAGGAGGGGCCAGTGCAGGGCGCACCCCAGACAGGCACCACGCTGAGCCTCTCTGTTCCCCATTAAGGATTTAGGTGGAACTCCCCACTAGTCTCACAAACTCCCTATTCATTCATCATTCATTCATTCCACAAATAGTCTCATGCATGCTGCAGGCCAGGTGCCCAGCTAGGCAACGGACATGTGTTGCTATATAACAGGCCCCCGGCCTCATGGAGCAGCTTGTAATCTAGTCGAGGAGGCAGAGCGAAGCTGGTAAAGAAACAAACGTCTGTGACACATGCCGTGGGGAAACGAAGTGGATGAGAAAACAGAAGGTCCGATTAAAGCCAGACCCAAAGGCTGAGACACCCCACAACAACCAGGAGAAGCACGTGAGGCAGAGGGAAGTGTGAAAAGGCTCTAGAACCAGCTTTCCCAACCTGAGTGCACAACACACCCGCCTGGAGGGCTTGTCAAATAGACTGATGGGCCCACCCCCAAAGTTCCTGATTCTGGGGTCTGGGGCGCGGCCTGAGTGTCTGCATTTCTGACAAGTTCCTAGAAGCTGCCACTGCCGGTCCAGGACAACTTGCAAACCCCTGCTCTGAGGCAGGAGGCTGGCCCATCTGCGGCTCTAACAGGAGAGTGTGGTGCAGAGTAGCGATGGAGAGGAAGGCGGCTGGGAGGAGAGGTTGGCAGGGCCGGCTCGTGCACTCAGGCGGGCAGTGAATGGCTGAAGCTGGGTAGTGCCAGAGTCTCTGTGTGTTTGAGAAAGGTTGCCCTCCCTGTGCTGTGGTGGGGCTGGGATTCACAGCTGGAGAGAAATTTGCTTCTCTCATCCCAGAATTGAAGATTCACCCCAAGAGGAGGCTTTCCGACTGCTCCTCACCTCCTGGCTCTTAGCGCTGTGCCTGAGCTCTCCAAGGACTGAAGTGTGCCTGGCGATCTGCAATCTGTGACGGCCCCTCCCTCCCGTCTGCTGATCCTGTCCCTGGGCATCTCACTCTGACCAGAGGCACCTGCTATGCTACCGTCTCGTCATCCTCAGCAAAACATGAAATTTAATTTAAAAAGCACACGCCTCTTGCCAGTTCAAACCTCTGCTTTCAGGAGTCAACTAAAGAAGGTGGAAGCGCCATGGGTTTCAAAGGCCTGGGACCAGAGACTGAACCCTGAGCCTGCCTGTTACTAGCTACGTGGCTCTGGGTGTGAGAGTTAACCTCTGTGAGCCTCAGTGTTCTCATCTGTAAAATGGGAATGGATTTCAGGGAAACTGGGAGGACTGGACGAGACGATGCATTGAAAGAGCTTAAGATGGTGCCTGGCTCGGAGTCAGTGATGAACAAAGGTTAGAGATGTTAAAAAGAAACAACAGGCCCAAAATGGAGTCACTTGTGCTAAGCCCACCGAGACTTAACACCTCACCTAACTGCAGTGTCAGCCTCTCCCAGGAGTGGAATTTAAAACCCATCAGGCTGGAATTTCCTGATCAACACTAGGGAGATGATCTGCCTGATAAGACCCCCTGTCTTCCCCTAGGGGAAGCTGACCCTGCCTGAAATATCCCACTCTTAACTTCTTTGTCCTATAAGCTTCTTTCTGCCAACAAAAACCTTCCATTTTGCACAGCTCCTCGGAGCTCCTATCTATTTGCTGGATGGGATGCTGCCCGATTCATGAATCACCGAATAAAGCCAGTTAGATCTTTAAATTTACTCGGTTGAATTTTTGGTCTCTGACAGAGCCCTTCCCCTCTCTCACTGATGGAGCATTTACAAACTTTGGATCAGAAAACAATTCCACCACGCACAAAAGTGGAGACTCATGATGATGCCCATGAACTCATCACCTCACCTCAACACTTTTCTGTTCACGGCCGGAGTGCCAACAGGAAAGCCGAGGGGCGGGCGCCCTTTCTTCCCCGTTGGGGGAGGAGGCTGTGGACATCCTGCTTCCTGGAAACTTGTCTAAAGACAGACGAGATGCGCATCGAGCTCACTCTGTCCCTGTGGCACTGACTGTGACAAGAGAAGGTGCTGGAGGGCCTGGTGAGCTCTGGGTGATGCAAAGTGCCCTGTGGCACAGACTGTGCATTTACATCAGACATCACTTTTCCACGAGAGAAACACAATTTAAAGCTATTGAAATAAACTGCACCTCCGGTCAGGAATTCCACCCAGCCCTGCCTCGCCCTGCACCCAAACCCACCCAGTGCAAGCCACTTCCTCTCAGGAGCCCCCAAAGTAAAGCCCAGGCCTACTCCTCCTTTTCTGAGTCTTTGTCAGATAATCTCCCCAAAAGAGAACTCAGTGTAACAGGCCTGGGAGAGAATGGTTCCAGCTCCTTCTCTGACCCACAAGAGCTGGACGCATCACCTCACCTCTCACTGCCCTTGGGTGCCAACAGTGACACTGATTCTTGCCCCCACTTTCCCTCCCTTACAGGTTGTTCTGTGCTGGGGAGGACAGGGGGTCAGGAGGAGGAGAGCAAAACGGGTGTAGCGCCTCGAGGCAGGCTTGTGTTTCTTCCAGCACACAGTGGGCACCCAGTGTATGCCCAGAGAAATAAATCAAGACTCAACTGTGAAGGGGCCAGTCCCCATTTCATGCCACACCTATGATTTTTTCCGGAAACGTCTCCTGGAAGCGGCTCTTCTCTCCTGCAGGCCCTCAATCACAGTCATAAACAATAATAATAATAAGCAACAGCTAAGAGGGAGGGCCATTATGGGCCAATACTCTACTTGGCACGCAAGCCGGAAAACACGCACGCGTATCTGGTTTTCCCTTTTATCCCACCATCCCTGATCCAATCCATCTGCACATCCTTTCCACTCTTCCTCCTGATTGTTTCTAGAAACCTCCACTGCTCTCCTACTCTGACTCAGACATCACCTCTGTTACAGCACCTTCCACCTGCCCGTCTCTGGGAGACAACCCCTTCCTCAGGCCCATCCCAACTTAGTCAAATGCCCTGTGCACCAGGCATCCTTCTAAAATGCACAGCTGCCCTAACTATCCTCTGCTTAAACCTTCCCATGGGGTCCCATCTCCCTCAGGATGAAGTCCAGGCTCCTGAGGCTCACAAGTTCCTGGTGATGGAACCCCATGCACCTCCCTCCCTCCATCCCCCCACCACCCACACAACCATGCGCACTGCGCCTGCCTGTGCCAGTTGCTCTCAGTGCTTACCTCCTGGCCTCTGCACATGCTGCTCTCTGCACCTGGACACAGCCCTACTTCCATGTCCCCGGCCGACTCATCCTTTAGGCCTCAGCACAGACACTACCTCTTCAAGTTAGCGCCCCTGACACCCTGTTCTCAGGCGGCCTCTGTGGGGGCCAGGGCTCCTGCCTCAGCCTCCCATCCCACTCTCCCTACTAGGGATGGGGCTGCACTGAGGTGCAAGACCCAGGCCTGTGCGGTTACCGCTGCAGCCCAGGAGACCGTGCCATGCACAGACACAATGCAGGAATGCCTGTGAAGGGTGCAGAATATGCTGCCCCAAAATATGCCACGTTGGCATAAGGATTGTTTTGAGTTAAAGGAGACTGAGAAAAATGGATTCGAGAAAAGCTCTCTGTCCTCCCTCTATTTGCCTAAAAGCAGGACATAAATTTGCAAGGGCATCTCCCCTCCCCTCGCTACCAGGAAGACAGAAGTTAATCACTGGAGACAACTCTAGACCCTTGTCGGCCTGGAGACAGCACCAGCGGATCTGACATGAGAAACCTTGCTGAAACCAGCCCTTCTCTTCCGTTAGTTCCCCGTATGTTTGCCTTCCCACAATCTGCCGCCCTAGAAACTCAAAGTCCTCTTGCTTTGTCTTGTCACTTCTCCACAAATTTACTGTTCGCGTGTTAAGATGCTACATAAGCCCAGAGTGCTAACCACCCCTCTGAGTTACTCACCCCTGAGCGCTCCCCGAGTGTCTGTGTAACGCACCTGTTAATAAACTTTGTTTTTCTCTTGTAATCTGTCTTTTGTCAGTCTAATTTACAGGGCCCCGGCCAATGAACCTAAGATGGGTGGAGGAAAAGAATTAACTTTTCCTCCCCTACACACGAAGGACAGCCTGATAAAGCAGTATTATCACCCCGTTTTATGATGCGGCAATTGGGTCTCAGAGAAGCTTAGACAACTGTCCTGAGTCACACAGCTAGTTAATGACCAAGCTGAGAACTGAACCCACACACAGCCTGGCTCCGAAGGCCACTCCTGCCACTTCACACCAGCAGCTGGCCTCTGTGGTTCTCTGCACCCTGGCTGCGTCTCGCCCACCAAACTACAAACTCGGGCAGGCCAGCCAAGAATCCCACCCGCTGCCTCTAGGCATCCTGCTGGAGCCAGAGCCAGAGCCCTGCCTTCCAGAGACTGCGGCCTTGAGAACAAGAGGGGCGAAACCTCTTGACCTTGAACCCCACCAGCCCTGGGGCATTCCAAGCCTCTACCTCAAGCAGATCTGTCTGCCTTACCACGAGACATGCTCAGCAGAGCAAGGCCTGGGAACCACACTGGGGGCAGGTGGCAGCCTCAGCTTGCCGCACCAAACCTGCTGAAAAGGCGCTGAGGGCGACCCAGGGCGCTGCCTGGTAGAAACACACCCCTCGGCTAAACAGTGCTGAATTCAACACCGACAGCTTCTTCTGCATAAAAAAAGGCAAGAAATGTACAGCTATATTCCCGAAGGCAAACAAGAGGAGAGAAGGCTCGATGGAAAATATTTTTCCCTTGAGACCCTGTCGAAGAAGCACTGCGAGTCACCAGTGCGTAATTTTTAAAACCAAGAAAGCAATCCACCATTGCAGAGACCACTCTTAAGACAATTTGCGAGTTGGGTGTCCTCGTGTCTGCCCATCCTAATTGCCGAGTGCGTTCTCAGAGCCTCACGAAATGGTAATCTTCCTAAATTCGCCCTCAGTCTCTGCAGAGGGAGGAGAGAGACTGGAACGGGAGATCAGCAGGGAAGAAAGCAGGGTGCCAGCTGAAAGGCCCATCAGCCTTTACAGTTTTTACATCCATGAATATTTGTTTTTGCATTAGCCACCACTCAAAGGCACAGGGAGAGGCATTTGCACATCAAAACGTTTGTTTATATGCTAAGATCCCAATCCACAATGCCACTTGCATAATAACCGCAAAGTAGCCCATTCAATGAGGGGCGGGTGCCCAGGATACGCACAGGCATGGCATTATTGAGGGTGTTGTTGTAGACACAGGCGCGCAAGGAATAATCGAGCATGCAATTTTCAAACAGCTGCAGAGCTTCTGTCACTTTTTCATGGAAGTCATCTGCAGATTTATTCGAACTTGCAAAGTAGAGATAGTCTGAGTACAACCTGTGAATAAAATAAATGGATATTTTTACCACCTGTGAATGTGAAATCATGCCATTTGGGTGACAATGGAAATCAACATGCAATTATATTATCCAGTCTTGTTCATTAAAACACTGCCATTTCTCTTCATTACCTCGCAGATGAGCCACTTCCCTCCTTCCCTTCACGCCCCGCACCCTTCACAGGGCCACCCAGGCTCTCCTGGACTCAGAGGTGTCTACACCAGCCCCAGACAAACCACTGGTAGTTATTTCGTGGCTCTTTCTAGCCACCCCAAGCCACAGCTGTTTTCACAGTTAACCGTGAACTTCAAAACAACACCAGATTACAAAAATTGTACAAGAGCAAAGAGAGGCCATGAACATTTTATGCTCCTTCCAGTTCCTCTCTCCTCTATTGGAGGCAACAATAACAAGAACATCTGTCGCTCCTGCAATGTTACAATTCCACACAAAATTCCTGGCCCTTTCCACAGATGTTCCACGTTAAAATTATATATATATGAAATATATCTTTCTAGATTGGTAGGGACTGTCAATGCAAATAATCCATCATCAATCTATAAATCACAATTGGGCTGAGTTTATTATGAGCCAGGTTTGAGGACTATAGTCTGGGGACTTCCTTCCCCAAGGAGGGAAGGGCGCCAAAGAAGTGGGGTGTATATACACCCCACAACGGTTATATACTGTCTTGGAACAAAGAGCTTACATCACATATGATAGGAATGTCCCTTTTACAATTGTCTTGAGATGATTAGCTGGCACAGTAGCTCAGTGGTCAGCAGGTAAGTGGTCACAAGGTGAGCACAGCAGGTTGGTAATTAATCCTTAGTTCCCAGGAAGAGATGCTTATCCTTAAGGAAATGCTGATATGGGGGGAAGCTACATCCCTATCTTTGAGGGCATCATTTTCACCTTTGGGACATAGTAAATGTTTAAAGCAGATGTACAATGCATGCTCAACAGGCCACGTCAGGCCCTTTTGGAAAAACAAGGTCAGGCCAAATTAGTTTTAAACCAAATGGCTTCCTCATGTACCCCAATATATACTATTGCTTTTTCTTTACTTAATCAGGACCTGTTTTTTTTTTTTTGTGAGGAAGACCAGCCCTGAGCTAACATCTATTGCCAATCCTCCTCCTTTTTTTCCCTTTTTCTTCCCAAAGCTCTACTAGATAGTTGTATGTCATAGTTGCACATCCTTCTAGTTGCTGTGTGGGGGACGCCACCTCAGCATGGCTGGACAAGCAGTGTGTTGGTGAGTGCCTGGGATCTGAACCCGGGCTGCCAGTAGCGGAGCACACACATTTAACTGCTAAGCCATGGGGCCGGCCCCAATCAGGACCTATTTTTTAACATAGTGTGAAAACATGCCACACACACATGCAGACAGCTGTAGACCTACGTTTGTCGATACACACCGATCTGTTCATATGGACCCCACCACATGCGTGTAGCAACGTTTTCATATGGGAACTGACAGTGTCTCTCCTTGACCAAACTTGACTCAGGCTCCTTCAGAACCCAACTAGGCCTCAACTTTTGGACTTCAAAGTCTGTCTGTGCATTGCCCAATTTTAGCCAGAATCCCCCACTCCCATGTCTGACCACCCAGCCTGCCTTCAGCAAGAATCCTGTGATGTCGGCTTAGCCAGAATCTCCCCTCACCCTTGGCATTTCCTCGTAGCAATTTTCCATCCACTGACACCCCCCAATCTCTCTCCCCTACTGCAAGACCTCCTCACAGTGGGACCTATACCTCTTGTGACAGTCCTGAATAAAGTCTGCCTTCCCGTTCTTCAACAAGTGTCAGAATAATTTTTTCTTTCCATTTTTTTTTTTACAAACCTGCAAATAATTTATTGGACTTTCAACATTACAGATAGTTTTTTTTAACCATGGGATATTTCTTTTCTTATATCAGATAAACAAAAAGTAAAACAAAACACATTACAACAACGTACTAAGCACATCTTTTATTTAACGTCTCTGCCCCTGATTTCTCCAATGGTCCTAACTTACAGCACAACTCCCCACAGATGACCCTTGTAATCAGTTTCTTACATATCCTTCCAGAAATTTTCTGTGCATCCCCAAGCACATATCTGCATATTCTATATTTTTTAAAACACAGATGTACCAGACTATATCAGATGGGATCAGATAATATATCTATTATCATGGCACTTCTATAGTGATTTAATTTTGGGGAATTTTGAACATCCATAAAAGTATAAGATAGTATACTGTGGCCTAACATAAACATTATTCCATCGTCACCCACAATGTTTTTCTTTAACAGAACTTCTGAGTTGCGAGTTTCCTGCATCTTTTTTTCCTCTTACAGAGAGGATAAGTCTGCACCTTTTTTTTTTGGTTTCAAAGATCTACCCATTGTTTCTGTCTTGTGCCTTTTCAACGCACGCCCCCAGGGACCCCTACTGCTGTGCCCAACACACTCCACTCACACACAACCGCCACCTGCCAAGGGGAAACAGGGCTGCTGCGGACTGGACCCCGGCGCCCTGGCGTCACATTTCTCCTCTCAGCTTCATACTTTCTGTTCCCCTAGCTTCTCTAACTTGGCTTCACTCATTCTGGTGAAGACAATTCAGCCAATCTTATGAAGTACCCGTCTGTCTAGGGACTTACATCTGACCTGCCAATTGCTTCCAGCGGTTCTGCCCATCCCCAGGCACTCCTGCAGAAATCGCAGAGCCCTTGTCACACTGGTCAGCTGCAAATGCTCCTTCTCCAGCCCCTCACCTCTAATTATGGTCGTAGTAGGACACAAAGATTTACACAAATAACACGAGCATGGCTTCCTAGGGACCAGATCTTCTCCTCCTCTGGCACTTGGCACAGTGTCTTCAACATGGCTCTCTGGAATTCACCTACCGCCAGTGTCCACAGAGGACACCTCTGAGAAGACCTGAGACGTTTGGGATCTGCTCACAGATGGCCCAGAATCCAAACACACACTGGGATGGTAGTGTTTTGTACATCTCGGCCTGGTCAGCCAAACTCCCCAAAAGGACTTGCTCCGAAACTAGTCATTAAAGATGCTCTGTGACTGGGGAGTCGATTCTCCCTCAGGTCCAGGCTCACCTGAGTACAGGACCTGGGACGACACTACATCCACCTACTACTGATGTCCCCCAACACCAGCCGTGCTATTTTCTTGGAAAGTAGAACATCCATCAAAACCGAAACCCAGCACCTGTCATCACAGGGTCAGTCAGTTAGTACAACCTAAAAAGCTGATTGATAAATGCCCAAATTAGATCTGCAAGGACCTCAACGTGCAGTTGAGCCGTGTGTGTCAAGGGGACCACGTGGCAATGGGTCTGACGGGGTGCCCCTCTGGCTCACACATTTCCTACCAGTCCTGTCTGTACTATGGCTCTGCCCAAGAAGCCATGTCCACGAGAAGTCACCGATGCCTCTGAAACCGTCATCAAAACCGGTATTTAACAGGAAGTCCAAGTCCAGAGTTCTTACCAAGGACTCCCACAGAACTATCCAAATTCTTTGGTGGAACTGGAATTCCATCACATAAATCACTGCCTATAAACCCAACCATCGGCTCAAGCTTTCCATACCGAGAGCTCATTTTGTGGTAATAACATCTCTTGTAGACATTTGGCTCATAAACAAACAAGAGCCCCTAAACCTGCCTCAGTTTTAAATACAAACTTCGTGAAGTTTGTGCTGATTCCACACAATTCTTTAGAGATCAAGAAGTAATCCTGGGGAAAAACTGGGACGTGTCCAGTGGCCCAGCCAGCCCAGCCCCGCTCAGGTGAGAATATTGATTTTCATCTGTTTGTGGTGCAATGAAATCAACTGAGGACCCCACCTTCTGAGTCAGGTCACAACCTTTTAGAGCCAGGCCAGGCCCACTTCCTCAGCAGGGTGAGGGGAAGTGTCCTCAGCCCCTCAGTCCCCCCCAGGGACCCTGGACCTGCCACAGAATGGGCAGTGGGCTTCGGGCTTCCCTCGAGTCCACATGCATGCTGGGAGAGGGGTCTGTGACAACAAGTCCTTCACACCCTGCTCTGTCGGCAAACACCTGAGCAGAGACTTCATGCATCATAAGAATGGTCACCCCCTCCCAGGTGGATGCTGTACCTTCCCCGAAAGATATGTCCTGACCTCCGCCTGGTGCCCGTGAATCAGGTCTCATCTGGAAATAGGGTCTTTGCAGATGCAATTATGTTGAAGATCTTCAGATGAGATCATCCTGGATTTGGGGTGAATCCAATGACTGCTGTCCTCATAAGAAGAGGAGGGGACACGGGAGAAGGCCACGTGCAGACAGAGGCAGAGACTGGAGGGATGTCTACAGACCAAGGGACACCAAGGGTCGCAGGAGCCACCGGGAGCCAGGAGAGACGCACGGAACAGATTCTCCCTCAGAGCCATCGGAAGGAACTGACCTTGCTGACACCTTGATTTTGGACTTCTGGCCGCCTGAACTGTGAGAGAATAAATTTCTGTTGTTTGTAGGCATCAAGTATGTGGTAATTTGTTACTACAGCCCTAGGAACCTACCACAGATTCTAAACCCCAATTCCCAGGAAGACTGAGGAGTTATTTCTCCCCGGCCTGAGACTCTGGAAGAGTGACCTGAGCGTGCAGGATGATGACGGCCATGTGGACAGCTCGCCCAGGGGGAAACAAGAAGGAAGCAAACAGGACTCCTGCTGCCGGGGGAACTGTTCGGGTCCCCAGAAGAATTAGGCTAGTGCTTCACAAGAACGTCTTCATACCCGACGCTATGCTTCCCCCACAACTACTCTCCAGGGAAAAGAATCAGCGAAGGACCTTGGATGACTGGAGCCACGTGGATGAGTTAAACCATTCAGAAAAGGTTGAGAAGGAAAGCAAATGTATGAAGAATAAGTATTCAAACGGATCTCAAAAAGCTGGAGCAGGCACACTCGGGTAACCAGCTGAAGAGCACAGAGAGACACCTAAACGTCCACATCTTAGCCT